GAAAACACAATGCATAAAAACTAGTAAGATTTGAATATCTCCTCTGCTCTATGAATCTTCCTGGTGTTATAGAACATTTACTTTACTGGCACAGATCAGGCAGCAGTTGTGTCCCTCATGTGGTGAATGTGCCAAATTGCAGCCCAGTGAATGTCAGGTCTGTCTCACAGGCCTCTGAACCAACTGTCTGAAACCTGCCTGGAGTTAAAACATGAACATCACATGTATGTAACACACTCAGGACATTTTGAGAGCAAAGACATAAAAACAATGCTTCAAACAAGACTCGTCAAGACACGAGAAAAGATTTAATTAACAAGACCAAGTGTCAACAGGACTAAATGTTTCCATATTGTGCAAACGCATACACGTTTGTCTCCTGTCGAACAGCGACACGTAGTCTTATGTCCCACCACCCAACCCTGTCAAGAACACCTTGCTGGTTCCCACGAAGCCTCCAATCACGTCCCAGGAAAGTTGCTGTGGCAGCAGGGGCTGCTGCCATGTGGCGTGAGACAGGGACAGAGCAGAGGGGACAAGAGTCAAACAGCTACAAAAGTCTTCTGACCTCTCCTGAGTTTTCTTTTGTTTTAGCCGCAGCCCGTCGGTCGGTGGAATCACCTGAAACATGCTGATCACTCTGCTCCTCACCTTCCTGGTCTCCTCTGCCTTTGCAAAGAAAGGTAAATTGATTTAACTACACTTTTTTGTATTTTTTTTAACTTATCATCTTAGCTCTTCTCTGCTTTAAATGTGGAAGATGAACCTGATATGATCAGCGCTCCATAAATCAATATTCTGATTAATGATCAAACTCTGGAAAAACAAAACTTTCCCATCAGCCTCTGCTTTACTTAGGAAATTCTAGCATGCTGATATACTAAACTAAGATTATTAATATATAAAACATGTACATTCTTAGCTTGATTTATGTATATTACAAAATGTGCCTGTTTTATTAGTTGTGCTTTCATACTGTTTCTCTACTTGAATTTTTTTTTTATGTTTTACCCTTTGATCCTTCTGATCTGTATTTATATGCCTCTTTTATTTCTGTAAAGCACTTTGAATGACCTCGGTGTGTGATAATGTTCTGTACATATAGTTTTGCCTTGCCCCCCGTAAAGGGGCATAAATACCTGCAAGCATATTAACTTGCTAACATTGTGTAGATTTTTTTATTGAGACAATAACTTTGAGGTACAAACTATGCTGACCTGTGTTCTTCTTCCTCAGACACTGCTCTTCCTCAGCTGAATGACACCAACGCTGTAGAGGCCTTCATCGGCTCTGCTGAGGTGGTGGTCATCGGATTTCTGGAGGTCAGACAAAACAATCGCACATAGAGAAAAAAAAAAGTCTCAACCCTGGAACTCAAATAAACCTCCAGACATTTTTTAAAGCAAGCCCACAGACACTGTTTTATGGTCTAGTTTACTATGTTAACATGCATGCGGCACACCATGATCTGACAGATTATCTTTATCTGAGTGTGAGACTGTGAGAGCTCCCAAAATACAGTGTTTGTTTGCAGCTTGGTCTCTGTGATGCCGCTCTCACAAATAGATCTCAAAGAAGGATGTATTTCCTATGGCCACACCTTTGGCAACGCTGATGCTGCTTTGAGGACTGAGGGTGGCTGGCCGCCCCACAGAGGCGAGCCCTTTGGCCAGACGCAGGGGAAGATGGCCGGCCACTCGACAGGAAATACATGCATATCTGAAGTCTTGTGGGATTGGCTCCACTGAAGCTCGCATAAACAAGAGCAGGAGCAGGGAAAAGGTTCATGGGAGGAGAGAGCAGGAGGCCACACGAGGATAACTCATGAGGATAGTTGGATCATCATACTGAAGGCTACAAGAGACCAAAATATTGATGCTGTGACTCATTGGGAATGAACACATATTACAGGCTGCAAAATAATAAAACAGAGTGCCAGAGCTCATGTAATACTCAGAAATAGACATGATTCACCTTGAATGAGTCAGCTTCCTGGTCCACTGTATTTATCTATTCCTCGTCTCCGTCTGTGGCTCCTGCACTTTTTTAGAAGGGCACCTGGTGGTGTTTGAGGGTACAGCAAAGGTAGAATACTGTATTAACATGTATATATGTCGTCTCATGCTTTTACCATCCTAATTCTATTATAGGTGTAAAACCTAATTCTAGGCATGATTAAGATTAAAACGACTTTAATAAATATTGACACAAACATTTTAAAAATACACCAAAACAGCATCTTTTACATGAAGTAAAGTTGCATAACTCTTTTCTAAACGTTACAACACCATGATGAAAAAAATTGTCAAAATTCAAGATTCAAAATATGTAAGTACTATTAACAAGATTTAATTAATGTATCAAAAATACTAATTATGCAGCAGACTGGTTCGCATCATTGTTCAAGTGTAAAAAACTTAAGTACTTTGAGTAAATGTATCTGGTTACTTTTCTTTTCCCTTATATCTCACCCTGCAAATGGATGAAGGCAAAATGTTCTTTTAAAATGTCAGTGGTTAAATGCAGTGTTGGCTAAGCAGGATATAAGTGATTTGCAATATATGTGTAATAATTAAAGAAAAACAACTTTTGGAAAAGAGTAAAAGACTATATGTGATGAGATGAGATAGTTAAACAGCTCCGTTCTGTAACTCTCTCTCTCACTCTGGTTTTTCAGGGAGAGGAGAGTCGTGGTTATAAGGAGCTTGTTGCAGCTGCAAAGCGCGTCGACTCCGTTCCTGTCGCCATTTGCACAGCGAAGGAGGTGTGGGCTGACTACCAGCTCTCCTCAGACACCATCACCCTCTTCAGGAAGGTATTTCACAACATCACTGTTCATTATCCAACGATGATGATGTACCATCAGTTTAATGATGATGATGCTGTGGCTGTGTGTTGTGTGATTCAGGCGGATAATCACCAGGACAATCTTGTTGTCGCGGATGCCAAGAAGCTGGAAACTGATGGTCTCATAAATTTCATCAGCGTCAATGAGATCCGATATATCACAGAATACAACCAAGTGGTAGGACTGACATGTCTTCATCATTGACATATAAATACTTTGCATGGTGTTAACAGACTCTGACTTTATTCCTGTCACCTATTCTATCAAAGCCTCATTTCATTTAAACACATGCTATGATGACAAATGAAGACACAAAAATTCACTGTCCCATTAAAGCACAAGTGCTTTCTACGTTGGTGAGGACAGCTTGAATTTGACTGACAGCTCCATTTTCCCTTTAATTTGGTATCACCCGTCAGGGCGGGATTACCTATTGACCCATCATTACTCTTTCTGGTGCATAGAGATTTGTGACATCATAAATTCCCACTGTAGTCCCACCCATTTTTAACCTGACAGGTAGCCAGAGTGATTAATAGCTGTGTGTGTGTGTGTGTGTGTGTGTGTGTGTGTGTGTGTGTGTGTGTGTGTGTGTGTGTGTGTGTGTGTTAATGCACGTGCACATTAATCATGGTTTGTCAGTGGAAAAAGAACGTCTCCCGTCCTAACCCTCTGTTTTTCTCTCAGACGGCAGTGGGCCTGTTCAACTCGGAGGTGAAGTCACACCTCCTGCTCTTTGCCAACAGAGGGACTAAAGAATTTACTGAGCTCAAGGAGCAACTCAGAGCTTTGGCCCCTGAGTTTACAGGCAAGGTAAGAATGAAAACTAGAGTCACAGCAGGGCCATAATGTGCCTAATTATATTGACTGCAGGTCTGCAAATCTCTAATGCATTAAATTAATTTACCTCTAAAAAGTTTTAGGTCTAAGTTTATTCTTGCCTGATATGGGCATTAATATTAGTTACAAAATCTTGGCTTTTGGGAAAACAGCTGTCAAGGAGCTCTTGATTCATGATGTACAAAAAAACTCCATTATTTTAATTGGTTAAGTCATCTATATATTTTCTTTCACTTAACTGAGTCCAGACATGCAGATAATGAGACAATAGGCCAGTGGACACAGACATGTACAACCACCCATCCCATACATGTCCTCTGGACTAAACCTGTTCCGTGATCCATACATGGTCTAGCTCATGTGAACTGATTGATAGAATGTCAATCAATTGAGTATTCATTCTTTAAAGGTCCCACAGTCCCCTTATGAAACCAAATCTAATTTCACCAGATCCAGATTTTTATTTGGATCTACAAAAAATTACACACACTCATAAATACCAGTGCCCTAAACATATCAGATTTTATCATTAAGATCCATCAATTAATAATCAATGAAAACATTATAATTGTCCACAAATTTAAAGAAAGTGAAAAGAAATCCAGCATCCGCCTCCTGTTCCAGATCCACAGCAAAATGGATTGGGTTCTTTCCTTAGTCCTCCACAAAAGTTGTGGAAATCAGTGAAGCAGTTATCCTGCTCACTAACAAACAAACATTTGTTTTTCAAAGAATTCATCGATAATAATGAAGATGGCGTGACACCGAAGATGATGCTTTATTTCATATTCTTTGGTATTAAAAAACTAAAATGTAATAAATTATGCATAAACCTTGTGTATTCTTATGATATCACAAATCCAACACAACCGAATGGTTTTCATAAAACTCAAAGCAGTTTCATATCTGCAGTAACTTTCTGTACAATAGGTTAAATCATGAGTCTGTGTTCCAGTTCTTGTTCGTGCTGATTAATGGAGCCGTGAAGTCCAACTCTCGGTCACTCGGCTACTTTGGCATCAAGTCTCAAGACCTCCCACGAGTTGGCATCTACGACGGTAACTCAGACATGAAGTGGCTTCTTCCTGTAGGAGATATTTCTCCTGAACGAGTGCGGGAGTTTTGCCAGTCGTTCCTGCGAGGAGAACTAAAGGTGAGCAGTCAGGATTTGCCTGATGAGATGTTTTTGACCTGCAACATATGATTTTGATGTTTTATTGATTTCACTGAGAGGATGTAGATTAAGTTTGAAAAAGAGTGACAACGTTTATTGAATTAAAAATAAGCAGCACAGGCACAGACAAGATTTAAAAATGTACATTAAAAATTAAACAGGAATACTGCTCCCCTGGCCTTGAGGACAAAGGCCTCACCAGTGATGTAGAAGAAGAAAAGCTCTTTTTGTTGTCACAGTGAAGTAGAAGTGCCACACAAAAGACAGGAAACCTCACTCTGTCACTAATTTGCTGTGTCGCACCACACAGAGCTGCAGCTGGGTGTGACACAGTCTCAATTCAGATCACGATAGATCTGTTAAATAACTGGCACTGGATCTTTAGTGGTGGAAAAAAAAGTATCTAGATTGTTTAACTTAAAGGTAAAGTAGCAATAACACTGGAGAACTCAGTTACAGGTTAAAGTTCAGTTAGCGGTAAATGTTTTTGTGTAACTGGCAAAATTATAAACTTTACTATTCCTGTTCAACATGAAGGAAGCATTTTAATGTTGTACCTCGTTGAGGTGTCACAGGAGTGGCCATATAAATGTTGTGGAGTAAGAAATGCAATATTTCAAATTTTTTGACATTTAGTGTCAAACTAAATAAAAATACTAATGAAAGTATGTTAAAATGATATATCATCGAAATCATCAATCATGCAACAGCAACACAACACAAACAATGACACTGTCATTGTTTGTGTTGTGTTGCTGCTGTTTGTTTGGTTCATTTCCCTCCGGTCCAGTCACAACTTTCCACAGATTTTCTTCAAGTTCTGAACTGGAGCTTTGCCTGGAAAAGAAAAGTTTTCACAGCATTTTCCCCTTGAATGTCCCTCGGCTTTTAACCATTTGTTTACTGTGATAAATATGGTTCCTTATTTCAGTTTTTCCCCCATCTCTCTTCTGTGCTAACTACTAAAAAATAAATATATTAATAAATAAATCAAGCTGTATAAATTTGAAATTTGAATAATTTGAAAGTCTGAAGCAGAGTCACCTGCAAAAGAGACCACACACAGATGAACTCGTTTTTATCCTTAGGACAATTTAAGTTTTTTATCTTACATTATTTTATCCCCAGTGTTACATTTTATGCACTGTGTTTGTTCCTGAGGCTTTTACTTTTGCTCTTACATTTGCTAATTTGCAAATTAAGCTGCTTCTTATTTGTGTTTTCTTTGTGTCCGGATTTCTTTATTTTCTGTACTCATCTGTATTGTAATGTGTTTGTCCAAGTTAAAATTAAGTTGAATAAATGAATGAATTACTATAATAAACATATAGGTGCAGTTAAATCCTCAATTGGAAAATTTCTTTTGTTTACCTCAGGGGGAAACTGAATCAATCTATCAATCAAATAACAATTTGTAGTCAATATTCATAAATCAGAATGTATCTCATAGGGCTTAGCAAGGTGCAGCATCCTCTGCCCTTAACCCTCAGCAAGAGTAAAGTAAAGACACCAAAAAGATTAACTGTTAATGGGAAAAAAGCCTCAGAGAGAGCCACGTCAACAAAAGAGAAAATAAATTCAGTTCAATGGTAAAGTATTTGTCTCAGTGCAAAAGTAAAACAGATACACTTGAGATAAACTTGATTGGTGACTTGAAGTGGACTTGAAGTCTATTTGTTTTATATGTTCCCCAGTGCTGTTCTGTCTGCTGTAATTCATGTTAACTTTATTTTCCAGGACGTGAAACAGGCTGGAGCAGAACCCAAAACAGAGCTCTAAAACCCAACCTACAAATGTAAATACATTATTATACATTAAATACATACATAAATGAAAAGGGTGCATCTGATGTGAATTCTTTGTTCAGTAAAAAACAAGCAGACTCTGCATTCCTCTCTGTCTGTGCAGTTTCTTTCTGTTGGCACAACTGAGACAATGCAAAGTGAAGGTTTGCATGTGTGCGTGTGTCTATCATGCGTCCTCACTTATTTACCCTGTGTATGTTGTGTTTTGTCTGTTTACGAGAGTGCGAGCCCCGTCTGTGGCCCGACCACAGGTCACCGGCCGCAAGCCGTAGTGATCTGGCGCAGTTTGCTGGTCTGTCCGCGAATGTTATTGTCAGAACCACAACACAGCGACCTCAGAGAGACTGACAGAGAGCAGGCAGGGAAGATCCGACCCTGGGCAGTTAAGACACAGTAGTTAGTGGTACTTTCTCATGTGAGTCACGCTGGGCAAGGTGAGTGTGTAAATTAAGTGAGAAGCTTCATGTGTGCAGGACAAACTAACTTAAAGATCCCCTGTGACGAAGGAATCAGAGGCAGAACTCACATACAGTTCAGAAAAATTATATAAACTCAAAGTATTTAGCTATAAAATCTATAAAAGCTCTATAAAAGAACAGTAGATGGTGTGTAGGCATCAAGAGAGAAAACGTTCTGAGCAAGTCCCAAAAATATTCTCTCAAGAGGGATGGGAATGTCGAGGCCCAGACTGGGATCAGGGTAATTAGTGGTGTTGTATTGCCAAGTGGATACATCCGGCGGAACTGGGAAAGCCTGGCAGGTGGACGTTTCTCAGAGACCAGATGGAAATACACACAGTGCAACTGAGACAGACAACAGATGTGACAGTTTTACATCAATGTGTGAAATGATGGGAGTTGAAGGGTGACAGACACGACATCATCAGTGGAGTGAACTATAAGCTGCTGCCACTTCATTAAAGAGTTAGCCCCAGTCATTGCATATAACTTTAAATATGAATGTACCCTTCTACCAATCAGACAACACATTGGTATCAATGAGAATTTTTTTTCATCAATGTCCATTAATTACACCTGGGAAATCTTGGTGACCATTGAAACGCTGGTGAAGAAGCTACTGTGTGTGTTAAATTAATGATCATGAGGCCTTGATGGCTTTTCTCTAGATGTGACATGTGAAGTACTTCTCCTCCTCCTCCTCCTCCTTCATCTCCTGCTCAAACACAAACTTCTCTGTTCTCCAGAACACAGTGAAAACCACTGCAGAGCTCAATGTGCCGTTGTGCTAAACTGAGCAGCAACTTGGAAGCTCTCAGTCCCATTAAGGAAATGTCATAAATCTTCATCTAAAACTGGTCTCTAAGTAAGACTTGTCCCATAAATAAGCAGCGGGTAAACTAGGCCATAAGTCAAACTGGAGCTGGTGTTATTTATCTTTCTAAAAGATTATCATGATCCATTTGACAGAAAATTGAAATTCAGTATGCAGCACTAGATTGTGTTAAAAGGCTGTTTTACAAGTGATAAGTAAAAATTGAGGCCTCTGGTGTGTTGGGACACCTGAACATGTGAAGACAGTAAATGTTGCTCTGTCTAGTATCAGTCTAATAAGCAGTTAGATACAGTACATACAGTATACATGTGTAACAGCACAGCAAAAAATATTTTCACATTTCATGCAAAATACACTTTTAGGTCCAACCCCCTGCACCTAAAATTTTCAAAATGTACTATCCCCTATGGAATATGTAAGTTTCAATTTTACTTTTATTGACATGCAAGAAAACCTTGATTTATCTTCAGTAACATTCTAAATATTTCACTATGTTAACAAAATAGTTCTTTCTTGACCCATTCTGAATCCTCCTACTAACTGTCATGGTAATCCATCCAGTGTTTTTTGCATAATACTGTTAACAGGCTGACAAACAACAAAAATGCAGACAGAAACAAAACATAACCTCTTTGGTGGAGATAATACTAAAACTAGAATAACACTCAGTAGTTCCCCCTCCAACGACTGTCCCCTTAAATTCAATCCACGACACACAAATGCACATGATTTTCAGATCGTGACTCGTTAGAGTCAATGTAAAAAACTAAAAAAAGACTTGTAATATTAAAAAAAGAAGAATTCACATTAGGTTGTTTTTCACACGACGTCCAGCAGTAAAATTCTTTTATTAAAACACCTTTCAATCAGTCCCCAGCACCTTAATGATGTCACACTCTGAACAACAGCATGAGAGACAGGAAACACTCTGTCTAGGCTGTGAGCTTCCACACGCACCCTGAGGTATCGTTTTTTAAAAAGTCCTGAATGCACGTCTGCAGCTGGTGATTTGAAGGTTGTTTGTTGCAGTGATATAGTGCATGTGTATCATGCGAGGGGAGAAAAGCTGGTGAGGACAAGAAAAGGAAAAATACAGTTCACTTCATCAAGCATAACAATAGAAATAGCTCCTGTTGTAGCCTCTCAGTTGGATTTGTTGTACACTTTTATGAATATTTAACCCACTGTCATTAGTCATTGTAGTGGATCTGCTGGTTGTGTTTGAGTCACATGTGACGACTCCTTTTCAGTCAGTTCCTGATGTTTCAACTAAACTCAGGATGATTATTTCCTAAACAAGATTGATGAGCTATTCTTTGTTTCGTTGTAGCGACCATCTGCACTCAGACTTGCATGATTTTATCTTTGAGACAAGCATATATCACTGACAGGATCAACCAGTGGAGAGTAGATGTTCCCAAAATGATCTGAAGGAAAGGAAGAAATCTGTGATTACAAATGAAACACAAGGAAATCCTCTCAGTTTGGGGTTTAGTATCTTGCCCAGGGACACTTAGGCACAATAAATAGGGGAGGCTGGAATCAAACTACTGACTTTCTGGACCACTCTTCTTCTTCAGGCACAAACCAACCTAATTTGCAATGAGTACATTAAGAAAGAAATCAACATAATATGTGAAGTTTTGGTGAATATAGATATATTCAAATATGGATGAACTGATTGGTTTTGACTAGCCAACAGCTTCTGAGGCATCTGTGCATTGTATTGTATAGTCTGCTGCACAGACAAGAGAATGTGTAAACCCAGTGAAAAACAGTGGGCTTTACTCATTGTCTGGATGAAGGGATTTCACTGCCAAGATACAACAACAAAAGAGTGAATGATCCAAAACGCTCCAGACTCTGTATTTCCTGCCTCTTCTGAGATGTTGTTGCAATTGTTTTCTCCAGCTGCACACTACAGTGTTTCCAAAAAAATGAACAGAGCACCAGACATTGAAATTACACGGCACGAGTTCCAAGACAAATCCCTGAAACCAGGAATAACGCTAGACTATGAAACACAAAGGACACCAAGGTCACTCTGCTGCAGCACCACCTTCCTCCCTGCAGGCCTTCATGATAAATGAAGCTGTTTTTGGGGCGCTCTGAGATAAATATACGTGGAGTGTTACATGCGCATAAATGTTTGGTTATCTAGACAGTTTTTAAGTTGCAACATGGTTTAGGTCCAAGCTGTGAACTCCAAATACCTTTTTTTCTTTTCTATCAAAAACCCACAACTGCAGCCACATTTGAACCATATCGCTCAAACAGCTACATCCAAACCCGCATGCATAAAGCTGCGCATCCAACACATGGGGTTTTCCTATATTTAGCTGTATATATGCTGAAATATATCAAGCGAGGCTGCGTGTTGGTCCGCTGGTTGGCGTTGGTAGGCCGTGGCTTCTCTGCTGGATCTGTCCGGGACCTGGAGCGAGATGGATCTGTAAATAGTGACTGACTGTGGTTCTGGTGGGACTCTGCAACATTCTAATTAAGCTCTGTCGCATAATGAGGCTCACTGCTGTTCCGTGTCACTCGATTAGTAGCTTGTGGTCGGCTCAGACTATAGTTTGGGGTTTGTGGGGGTGGGAGATCACATCTGGGGCAAGGACTGTTGTAGCATAACAGCAAGGGCACAACTAGCAGCCGTGATGTTGAGGAGGGAGCCATGCAGCGGGTCTGCCTGATTAAAACAGTTATATTTAAGGGTATTTTATGGAAGAAATAGTTTGGACCTGCAGAGGTTTGCTTCATTATTTATACTCTGGTGGACTGGTAAACAAAACGAGCATAAAATGATTGGTTTGTCTTCAGAAAATGATTGACAGACAAACGTTGGCAGTTTATGGCAAAAAATATTGTTCAGTTTACCCAATGAGCCGAAAGGAAGTATTTTAAGATTCAGTAAATCAGCTACAGGTCAACAAGTTCGTTAAAGTCGAATGTACATTTTTTAAGAGTCTTTTCTGTGTTTTTGAAAAAGGTTGTTATGCATCATGGAGAAGGGGAATCCTTTAAAGTATAAAATAACTCTTAGGTCATGTTTTCCTTTTTTGTTGTGGATGTCAAGTGAAGGTTTACATATATGCTGTCATACACACACATATATATATATACATTTACATTTAGGTTTACATACAGTTCCATGCACTGTACGTAAAGACGAGAGCCAGGAATTTTTGCGGCTGGGCAAGTCTCTGTGTGGGTGAATGAGTTCCTGGACTCTGTGCCAGGGGCAGCGTGGGTGTTTAAGGGAGATTTCATGACAAGTGGAAGCGGAAACGTTGACATTTGATTCCCCGTCCAATCAGAGGGTTATCTCCATGTGTGGGTCTGGTCTGACATGGGAGGTGGACTGCTGTATATATTGACCTCGACTTTGGGGAAAGAAACAGAACAAACCATCGAGGAAGAGCGAGCAATCAAGAAAGCAACTTGTCTGCAGCAAGAAACTCATCACCAGGCATCATGAAGACTCTGACTCTGCTCTCCATCTGCGCCCTTCTGTCAGTGTGCTGGTCCATGGGAGGTAAGGACAGACTCTCCTCATCACTGCTGTCAGTCATAATATTACCTTCTGCTATCTGCACCAAGGGGGTGTTTAACAAATGCTCTCTTCTGTGATCATCAGCTGTGGAACCAGAGGTTATCGTGGACCCTGATGCTGACACGGCTGCTGATGCTGACACGGCTGCTGATGCTGACACGGCTGCTGATGCTGCACCTGCCGATTCCTCCTCCTCCTCTGAGTCCGACTCCAACTCTTCTTCTGACTCTTCCTCCGACTCTTCCTCGGCATCCGATTCCAACTCAAGCGCTGACTCTTCGGCCTCCGATTCATCCTCCTCCTCCTCCTCCTCCTCCTCAGAATCCTCTGAGTCCTCGTCATCTGAGTCTACTGAATCCTCTTCCTCTGAGTCCGCCTCCTCCGAGTCCAATTCTGCCTCTGACTCGTCTGCCTCCTCTTCCTCATCCTCCTCATCAGAGTCAGAGTCAGTGAGCACTGAGGGTATGCAAAGAAAAAAATCCAGAGAGAATCTCTGCATTGTTTACATTAAAGTTTCCAACAACAAAACTCAAGAAAGTCTAAGTTTATGATTTGTTTCCCTTCAGCTCCTCCAGTGGTTATGAAGAGAGACCTGGCTGCTGTTCTCCTGAGGAGAAGAAGAGCGGTAGGAGCCCTCACCCTTCTGCAGCTGGAAAGGTACAGCTTTTTATTCTCATTGTAAACTCAGTGAGAAACAAATACTTTATGTTGCAGAGGATAACCTCATGTTAGTTTGTTTTTATGCTGGAAAGTGACACATACTTTAATTTCTCTCCAGCCTGAAAGAGGTGTGTGAGTTGAGCGTGGCCTGTGACGAGATGGCTGAGACCGCAGGTATCGTCGCTGCATACACCGCCTACTATGGACCTGTTCCCTTCTAAGTTAAAGACTTTTTCTTCATGTGTGAACTCTTCTCTTTGTCCTCTTTGTAATAATGGTGCAATAATCCCCTGAAATACAAAAAAGGAGCAGATCATTTTAATAAAAACGGGTTTGACCTGTGCTATAGTACTGGATGGAGGTTTTTTTAGGGACAGATCCTTGCAAATCTGACCAGCTTTAGTTGTCCAGTATGAAAAGGCATCTTCCAGGGTTTCAGAGAGCGGCACATGGAAACACGAGTCTGTAAAGTATGCAGACGCCCACAAGAATTTTAATTATTCTTTTCATCTCTCGGGTAAAAAAACAAAACAATGAATGGTGCTACAAATGCAATTGTATTGTATGTTAATATGTTAATGTTTTTATTTCATGCTTTAATTCTACACATAGTAGTTGTAGTGAGTAGTGGATGTAGTAGCAACTTCTTATAGGTACTGTAGTTTTAGTAGTGTACAGTGGTTGTTAAATGCACATTAGTTATTTGTAATGACTGTAACCACAAATTGCCTCTGAAAATAATAAATTATTTTGTGTTGTGGAATCTTTGTGTTGTTGTTAATATGTTGTGATGGTTTTAAAGCTGGTGACCTTCACTCACTTTTAACTCTGTTTTTGATCTCCACAAAATCCAGAGAGCTATGTCTGTCTCTTCAGCTGCTTAATACTCACACACAGTTACAGTGCACAGTTAACATAGAAAACAGCTCATGCTGCCACTTGAAATAATCACGGGATCCCTTGTTATAGCAAAAATATTGATTATAGTTGTTTTTGTGCTGGGTGAAATATATTCTGGATCATTAAAGTAGCCTCATCCTCTGTCTTCCTCTCTTTCATTCAGCATGAATTGTCCTTGCACGCCTCTGGCTCAGTGCTGTTCTCATATCGACCACTTAAGGGCAGTGTTTGTCAGTGAAACAAATCCAGAAGTCATAATCGTTTACACATTAGATACAAATGTGAACTGGACAAAGTTCCAGACTAATTCAGCAGGACCATGGAATTTAGTTTCAAGACTTGCAGCAGGCGATTTAAAAGGGAAATCTGCCGCACCCCCTCCTCATTTCCTAATAACAGAGGAAGAACAGTGGCAGAGGGTTTGATTTGCACAATGTTCATTTGTGTGTCTTCCAAGGATATTAAAAGGCAAAAAAATGAAAGGGGTCATATAACAAATCATACAACATATGTAAAAATATCTCTCTTAAGGCATACAAGAATAACAATAAACAATATGTTCTAACCCTGACCCATGTGTTTGTGCTTGTGCCTATGTGTGTGTGTGTTTGTGCATGTGCCTGTGTGTGTGTGTGTGTGTGTGTGTGTGTGTGTGTGTGTGTGTTGCGATGTCTCATGAGGCACACCCTGTCACATGTTGCCTGGCTAAGAGGAGCACATAGCTGTCCCCTTAAATTCTGCACCTTCACAATCAGCAGATTTATGCATAGAAAAACTAAACAAGTATGGGCCAGGGTAGAATCGATTCAATGTTAGAGTCGGGAAAAGACTATAATGTTATAATGTTCTTCAACTTTACAGGATTTTTCAACATTTTCCTCACTTTCTAAGAGAATATGTTAGATTATACTGAAAAATATCACACATATATGGTGATAAGATCTTTTAAGAACATTTTGGCTGGTCAAAATGAGATATTTTTGAACAACTTTTTTTGATGATTTGGGTTAGGGTTGTGATTAGGGTTAGGGTTAGGGTTGTAATTAGGCTTGGAGATCAAGATATTCTTGAATAACTTTTGTTCCGAAGGTCATAGAGACTTGGAAGTTGGTTCCATCTCCACTAATGTGGCTATGCCTGATCCATTGGTACCATCCCCGAGCTTCTACGACCTTTG